TGGATGGACCTTGCACTGTTTTGTTTAATAGAAGATAACCATTTAAATGCAGAATTTTTCTACTCTAGCAATAGTTTAAGCGTAATTCAAAAAATAGTAAAGCGATGAAAAGTTAGACTACAGGGATATAGAAATAGAAGACTGCGAATCAGAAAGGTAAGCTGGAAAAGCAATAGTTAGCCGAGAATCAACGACCTGAAATATGTTAGATTGAGAGTAAATCAGCTACCGTGAGCAGTTGCAGATGGCAGTCCTTAAAAACAATAAGTAATGATAGAAGAAGAGATTAAGGAAAAGTTCTTCCAGAAGTTTTCCATAAGTCATCACCATTTGACCAACTTGGAATTTTTAATTTACCATATTCAACAAAATGAACTGGAAGTATACAAGGGAATCAAACGAGAAATACAGGCTTGACAAGGCAAGTTTTAGATTTTAAAGTGACATGTCAGTCATCTATTATTTACTTACTTTATCTCCCTCTTTAACCTCGCCAATGGCATCATTGGCATCATTTCGACCGTTTATCAAACACTTTCCCTGCACATTATTCTCCAACCAAATTTTCAATACCTCAAGAATCATCTTGCAAATAAACATCCAATATTTAGTTAAAACCATAAGAATTCTTCAACGGGTAATATTGTACCACGAGAATCATAACACAGACAACCTTAAAATTAACAAATGTAAACTTAGACAATGCAGGAAAATAAAACAGAAATCGAACAATTTAACTTCCACTATTGTATGAACATACATAAGAGTAGCCCATTAAACAAAATTCATCTACATGAACAATAAAGATACAAAAAGCGCAAATATAATAATATAATACACATTTATGTATTCTAAGAGATGAAAGAGTAATATACCATTAGCGGCCATGGTGAAAATAGATAAACTGCTTCTGCTCTGCTTGTATTGTAAATGCAACGGCTTTGGGGTTGAGCCAAGTCTCATACTTCCAAAGAAATCAGAAATTGAAGAGTTAGTTAGAGCTCCAATACTTCGAACAGTATTACTCTTTCGACGGCGTCCAGTGAGACAGCAAGGCGGCAGCGGCCTCCTAGATGAACCGCTGAAATTGTAGAGTGAAGAAGCAGATGAAATTATTCGAGGTTAAAATTGGGAAAAATTATTAATTATAAACATAGATACCACATTGGGGAAAATAAAAGCCCTAAAAAATAGAAACTAGTTCCGTATCTAATAGAGAGTACCTTGGTCGCGCTAATGATGGAAAACCTGAAGAGTTCCCATGGCTGGGAGAGAGAGGGGAGAGTGTGAGACGGTGAGAGATTGGAAGGAAGAACTGGTATGCAGGGATAGATTCCGCCAGAGATAGAGACTCTAAATGTTTCATTGGCCATTGAACTTTGTACTATGTCGCGATTTACTCACTGAACTTTGTGAGTTGTCCCATTAGCCACTAAACTTTCCTCCGCTAGTGTCCATCACTCACCCGACTGGATGCCGTTTGAATTGTTGCTAACGTCGAGGATGGAATGATGACGTGTCTGGTTAACTCATTCCATGTGGTAAATTGAGTCCCATTATTGCCAAATCAATTCCCCGTCATCGCCACGTCAAAAAATAGTCTAGAACACATCTTTGACGTATAAAACCAAACACGAGTTTGTCTATGAAATCACCAAACCCTAAACTCCGAAAATCAATTTCCCCCAAATCAATTCTCTCACTTGAAGTCGCCGTGGTCCTCAAATCCATTCTTGTAGCTCACGTGGTATCCCAAATGGGTCAGTTTCGAAAGTTGAAGAAACCAGATGTCTCGGTGTTGTTAAATGGGTCGTGGATAGTTGCTGTTGGGGACTCTGGGACAAGGTTAATGGTGGTTTCTTTGTTAGAGTTGGTCTTGGGTTCCGAAGGGATGAAGAAAATCAGAGAGGATTTTTTTTTAAGGGACATAGTGATTATTCAACTATTGTTGATGAAGTTGGATTTTGTGTGCGTACGTGAAAAATCTGCCGAAATTGAAAGATGCACAGCCACGATAAATTATGTGATATCAGTTTGATGTTTTTTATTTTTGGTAATGTTGCTGGAAATTATGTGGGGCACAGATTCTTATCGTCCTCTTTTTGTCCAAAAACGTCCCGAACTTCTGTTACCTTCTTTTTAATGAATGGAGAGAGAACAATGTTGAATATTAAAGCCACAATTGTTGACTCCAATAAAAATTGTTGAAACTTCATGAAGAAGTTTTCAAGTTGCAAGTGAC